AGTTCCCAGGACTCTCCTGGTGGGAGCTGCTGGCACTGTCTCTATCTGGTGAGATTCCATTCACTCCCACGGTTCACAGTCCAAACCCTGCATGGTAAGCAGAATCCCCTGTCCCTGCTCTGTCCCTGTTGCCTGAAGTCTCAGCTCTCATTATTTTCTTGAAAGGAAGAGTAGAAAATGCATTCAGTTATCCATTTGACAATTATTGAGCACTTACAATGTGCCCCTGACCTATGTATTGAGTAGTCACAGCCCAGTATGTGAGGTCTATGCTGGGGTTAGTGTTAGCTTCTTTTTGTTATATTTCCCCAGTATTTCAGAGTTCTGTAAAGTGCCTCTGATTTGTAAGCCTTGTGTCAGAGTCTTAGACATCTATTACCACTTGAGTGGGGGCCAGGTGGTGGTCGTCTAAAACCAATCCCTCTTCACCTCATCTGAGGTGTAGTAATGGTTTTTTGGGCAGAGTCATGGCCTTGCCCTTGCCAGCTTAGATTATGCAGCTCAGACATCATCAATACCAGGTGGGGGAAGAGAAGACTGTGAAAGAGATGGCCTAAATCCTAGTCCTCAGAGGTTAGACAAGCCAAGAAAGAGACACTCATGACACCTGGGCTCTCTCAGCTGTAAGCTCAGGTGGCAGGCCTTGGAAGAGTAAAAAATGAAGCCCCACTTAATCATACATCCCATTTTTATAAAGAACTGTATAAATCGCTAACTAGTAATGTTCTAGCCTTCTAAATATCTTCTAAATATACCTTCATAATTCAAGCCAGGTTTGAATTTAGATGTCCAGGACTCCTTGAAGTTCCATGGTAGAATGTTCCCCAGTCCAGACTCCCAGTCTAGAGACTGCCTTATCTCCCCTCTCTCTAACTGGAGAGGCAAAGGGCTTTGGGTACACATGTAGACCTCAGCCTGTATATACAAGCTCTGTCATGCAAGTCTCTGACAAACAGCTATCCCTTGGTCACTGCTGGCCTGAATATCTGTGTCCCTCCAAAATTGAAACATAATTCTCAATCAGATAGTATTAAGAGGTGAGGCCTTTGGGAAGACTGATTAGGTCATGAGGGTTGACCAGAACAAGGCCCTTAAAAGAGGCCTTAGGGAGCATGTTTGCCTTTGTACCATGTGAGGTTACAGTGTAAAGACTTCCATCTATGGGGAAGAGGATGCTCATCAAAAACCAGTTCTGTCAGTTCCTTGATCTTTGACTTCCCAGTCTCCATAACCATAAGCAGTAAATTTCTGTTGTTTATAAACTACCAGTCCAAGGTGTTTCATTATAGTGGCCCCAATGAACTAAGACAGCTGCCTCTTGGACACTCAAGTGTACATACCAATATCATAGGCTGTTCTTGGGACTCCGAGAAGAGAGATCCAGGAAATAGGCTTGGCAGAGAATTCTGGGTTCTAGGTACCAAGAGGATAGTCTAGAAGGAGAAAGGGCCCTGCAGACCCAGGGCCCAGCCAGACTGCAGCACCTCAGCCCAATAAGGAGGGTCTAAATTGGGAATCTAGTGTGTTCTCTCTCTTTCCACCATGTGAGCAGCTCTGCTCTACCACATTCCTTACCATAATGTAATTTTCAAAACAAATCATAGATTATCTAATAAAAAGTAATAATAAAGTGGAAATCGATGGGCTGGGGTTGTGGCTCAGTGGTAGAGTGCTTGCCTAGCATGTGTGAGGCACTGGGTTCGATTCTCAGTACCACATATAAACAAACAAATAAATAAAGGTCCATCAATAAGTAATACAAATATTTTTTTTAAAAAAAATAGTAAGGGGGGAATTGAGGGGACTGACTCTGACCTTCTTGCAATGGGATTTTCAATGGTGCAAGCTGACAGCTAGCTCCCTGCCACTTGCCTGACCTCTGACATTGCTTCCTTTATATTTCTACTTTAGGAGGTCACCAAGAAACAGGCAGACCAGTACAAAAGAAAAAATACTGTTTATTCCACACAACTACACCAAGTGTTTCTCTCCAATTCTCCCCTCCCCACCCTCCCTCCAGCCCTCAGTAGGCATTGCCCTGTGCTGGGGGACAGTCAGAACCTTAATGTTAGAATCTGGCCTAAGAGGCAGGAAAGAAAATCTGGGCACAGGAAGATGACTGGATTTCTGAGAAGACAAAAACATCACGGTTTCTCAGTCTAAACTCAAGTGTGTTCCTCAGTTCATTTGACTGAATTCTTTCCCTGGATAAAATGCCATGGTTAGTGCAGGGTCAAAGGCCCCAGCTGATTCAGCCCACAGAAAGTTTTTGGTCTTTCTTTCATTTAAAACAAAACTATACAGTTAAATCATTTCTGCCATTCCATAGCAAAGGAGCCACTGAGCTCTGACTTAATTTTTAACACCCTTCAGAGCATGATGCTACCAAAACCAAACAAAACAAAACCCAAACAAACAAAAAACAAAAACTGCCTCATAGGTGAATGGCCCAGGCACCATCTGCTTCCTGGGGGATTCTCTGATGGAGGAGCACGGACAGAGGTCATAGGCCAATGAGCTCTGCTTGGAATATATTTCAGGCACATCCTGCACTCCCGGTCTAGAGAATTCAGCTGCAAACATTCAGGTCCCGGTATTCTTCTGAAAGACTGACCCATCTTTCCAGTAGAGGAGAAAATGATTTAGTTCTCGCTCAGCCTTGGGAGGACAGATTTAGACAAGGGAGGGGCTAAGAAATCATGACCAGGCCTAATTTAGACCAGTGGTTCACGATTTTTTTCCTGTCAAGCCACAGGACAGATGGTGTCCTCCTGCACATTCACAGCATGGACACACCCTATATTATATGCTACTTCCAGGGCACCAGCTGTGACCCACTTTTTTTCCCAAAAAAAGAAAGCACCTCTGAATGCAAGTGTTTGAGCAAGAAAACCTGCATCTTTCTAACTCATTGTAGTCTGAGTCACTGAATCCTTGAAAGATTTCCATATGGAAAATGATTCCTACTGAAAACTTGTTCACAATACCCCTCCCAAGTGAGTTTGTCATCTCAAAGAGGCAGGTTTATAACCATGGCCTGAAGTGTGGAGCTTCTCCTTTGAAGACGTACTCTCTCCTGGGGAGCTGGCTCAGGTAAGCTGCCCACCCGCTCCTCACCCCTACCACACTCTGGCAGGTTGGTTGTAGCAGACTCACACTGTCTTCGTCTCACTGGCAGGGTTACCAAGAGGGTGGCCACAATGGCATTGCAGAACCTAGGAGGGATCAGTAGTGGGCAGGAAAGGAAGCTAGGTAGAGTAGCTCTACACCAGTGACCAACAGAAGTAGTAATGTGCCCTTACTTGGCGGTCACCCACTTGGGGTAGATCATTTGAGGTACAGTGAAGGACAGCTGCTAGAGACCAGGCATTGTAAAGATAACAATAGTGAAAGGAGAGGATATTTGACTCCGGGGACTTGTGGATCTTTAGGGACAGTGTATATAGCAAGTCTGGGATCATCCAAGCCAACCTCTTAGTCTCTCCTGACCTAAAGTCACATATTGTATTTTAAGGGGTGTCCAGTCACAGTGAGGCTGGAAACTCACTTCACAGCTTGGATAAGATGCTAACCCCCAAGGTACCATAGCTACCCCCTCTAGAGGCAAAATTCATCCTGAACTGGGTAGTCCTGACTCAGAGCAGCACTGGGAGAATTGTCTGCAACAGATATGGTCTACAACTCTGGACAAAGTGAGATCTCTCCAATATCCAACGTTTACAGTTATAAAGAAAATTAGAATTAAGTAAACTTCCCCAAAAGACCTTTCTGGGCTGCCATCAGCTCTTTCTGGATGTTGTCCTTTCCCTCAGGGCCTTCCTGTCTGGTTTATTGTTTAATTTGCTCCTCTGAGAAGGTTCCAATACTGGATTGGGTGAGGGGCTATGGGGGCAAAAGAGGGAGAGAGAAAGTCAGCATTCCTTTCCTCATTTTTTCCCAGAGCTGCCTGCTTGCTGGGCAGTGGGATTTACCAGGGTGCAAGTCCTCGCTCTCTCTTTTTTCCTTTGAGACAGGATCTCATTATGCTGCTTAGGCTAGTCTCAAACTCATTATCCTCCTGCCTCAACCTCCTGAGTAGCTGGGATTACAGGCATGCTGCAGGCCCAGCTGCAAATTCTCTTAACCCACATTTTTTGGGGGGAGGGGATGGCCGAGGACAGAAATTAGATTAAAACCCAGGAGAATGGACTTATTTACTAAATTCCAGACCCACAGCAGTCCCAGGGCAACTCCAGGACAGGTAAAGTTTACTGTTGCTCTCTTTCAACACAGATTGTAACAGAAAAGTTTCTGATTTAATGCAAACCCTACCCCCAAACCCCAAAGAACCAGGGAGAGGAGTTCATATGTTCTGGCACAGGTCTTCAGGAACCTTCTGACCTTGAGGTCAAGGCAGACATTGGGTCTGACCTTTGGAGCAGCACAGAAACTTCTGGATTTTTTTTGGGGGGTGGGGTACTGGGGTTGAACTCAGGGGCACTCAACCTCTGAACCACATCCTCAGCCTGATTTTGTGTTTTAATTAGACACAGGGTCTCACTGAATTGCTTAGCGCCTTGCTATTGCTGAGGCTGGCCTTGAACTCTCGATCCTTCTGTTTCAGCCTCTTAAAACTACTGGGATTACAGGTGCACCACTGCACCCGGAAACTTTTCTGAATTTTATATCCTAAGTCCTTTCAGGGGTTTAGTTTGTCTGTAGGTGAAGTGAGGGAAGGTAATGTGAGGCTGTGGTTCCACAGTAAAGGAGATGTAAAGGAGAAAGGAAAGTGGAGAGAGAATGTTATCAAAAGCAAGAGCTAATGGTCCTCAGGAGTTTCTGGTTCCCAGCCAGAATTTGCCCTTCAGAAACCATGTTAGCAAAGTGCTTCCCTAATCACCACCACAAATCTTTTCCTTTGTTATCCTCAGCCCAGAACCTGGGGCTCTCTCATGGGTCCCCTCTGGCCTCCCCAGGATATGAGATATGTGGGAAAGAGGAGAGAGGCATCGACACATGCACACAGTGGAGTCTCATGATGTGGCAAAATGACAGGTTCTGTCATGGCAGTGGAGACAGTCAGGTGTCAAGGGAAGAGTACAAAGTGCTGGAACACAGGGCTGTGGGCCAAGCCCTAGGGGATCTGAAAGACATTCAGCTTGCTGGTGTTCTTGAGTGTCTGGCGCCGATTGCAGAACCAGACTCGCACTACCTCCCGGTCATAGTTGAGCTCTTTAGCAATCTCGGTGATCTCCTGACCTGTGGGTAACGGGTTCTTCTCAAAGTAGGCGTTGAGGGCCTCTATTGCCTGGGGGGTGAAGGAGGTGCGGCGTTTGCGTTTCTTGGAGGGCTCACCTCCCACAAACTCCATCAGGTTCTGCTGGCCTTCCTGGTTCCGGAGTTCAGCCTCATTTAGCCACTTCTCTAGCACTGGTTTCAGCTTCTGGGCACTCTTGGGCGTGATGTCCAGCTTCTCAAACCTGCAGACAACACATGCCCAGGAAGAAACAGAGTGTGTTGGTCTCAGTGCACTACCTTCAAGGGGCTGCTCCTCGTGGAGCTGGTAAGGCCCTTCCCAGTGTCCTCTCACTATCTCCACCATGACCCCTTTGGCTTGTCCAAGACCAGACTCCTCAGACTCTCCAGAATCCCAGGTCTTAACAGTGAGATTATTTCTACAGGCTCAGGTCAACAGGATGATGACAATACTGCCCTAAACAACCATTCTAAAACTTTCACACTCAAATGAATGAAGTCCTTTGAGAAGTCATCTTGAGCGGCCTCCAGAGGACATGAATGCTGTCCTCCTCCAACTGCACTCTCATAGGAACATGGCTAACATGACAGGCTACTTTTCTGGCTGAGCCAACACGGCACGGTTGTCACTCTAATAGTCATTCTAGTCTTAGCTATGGAGTTGGCAGGCAGATGAAATCACTGGGTTATCCACTGAGCCCAATGAGTTTCTTCTTTGAAACTCTCTGCTACCCTTCCTCTGATATTGACATCAAAACCAGTTTATTAAGGTACACACAGAAAAATCAGCTCTCGTACTTTATAGTCAGGCCTTATAGGAGGGGAAGATGACAGTATGACAGGGTGTGGCCTGGTTGAGGGCCACAAGGGAACTGAAGTTCCTACTTGTGGGACTAAGTTTATAACTCCTTTCCTGCTAGGATTCCTGAATGGATTTGGGTCTTAAATTTCCCCCCAAAGACCACATTAAATGCTCAGGATCAGAGAATAAATTTCAGAGAGTTTAGTCAGTCTTTGGCTACTCCAGGTGTTCATATCCAGATAAATACAACTTATCTGGTAGAAGTCAGGAGCAAGGGGGATATGGTAAGGGGCTAGATGCCTGGTAGGCACTGAGCAGACCCTGACCTTGTCCAGGGCAGCCTTACTTACCGGCAGATGGCTGACTGGCTATAGGCTGGACCTTCTGTTGCAGTCAGAGCCTGGCCCACCTGGGTCTGTGTAAGGCCCAGGGAGAGCCGACGGATCTTAAAGTTCTTGGCAAACTCCCGGATCTCTTCTAAGTTGATCCCATCCTCATCCAGACTTGGAGTATGTGGCTCTAGGCCAAAGGAAAGATCAGAGATGAGTGTGTAAGATGGGAATCATCATTGATTATCTGGTCCATTGGTTTGGACGAGTGCATGGTGAGGAATGGGGACACTAGGCTTGTGCACCTACCTTCATTACCCCTTCCCAAGGCAAGCAGACTTGTGGGAAAGGGGCCGGACCACCCTCTCAGGGCTAAGGCTTATTTTCAAGTTCTTATAGCTCTAACTGCTGACCTTTCCCCCACCCCACAGTCCCTCGTCCTGCCCCAAGCACACTGGTTGGCTGTCCACGTTCCTCAGTGCTAGATGAGAGCCCACAGCAGACAGCCAATGGCTTGGCCTCTCAGAGAAGCAGTCAGCCAACCAACTGAGCAGTCTCTACCATCCTGTCCAGAAACTATCTAGCTCAACAGCAACAGGAATAAGAAAGCTAGCTCCTCGCATTGGGCTTCTGCCCTTTGTGACCTTTGGAATCCAGGAATTTGATTGATTTGAGATGGGATTGCCCAGGCTGGCTTTGATTGCCCACACTCAAGCAATCTGCCTGCCTCAATCTCCTGAGTAGCTGGGACTCCAGGACCATGCCATAGCATATGGCTCCAGGAAATATATAAGAAAAGCAGTATGTGAGCAAGTTAAAACGCCCAAATAAATGCCCCCCACCTTCTCTCTTCCAGGAGCCACTTACTGGATACCAACTGGCTGACTGTGGGGGTCTCTGAGCAGGTGATTGGGATGGGAGCAGAGGCAGATGGCTTGACTGCTGGGGCTGGGCTGGCAATGACCACAGCAGGCTGGGGCACAGCTGGTGTGGGCTGGATGGGCTGCACCTGGAAGAGAGATAAGCCCCTGTTGTTCCTTGCCTAACTCAGGGGGTCAGAATCCCTGGGTGGATCAGTGTGGGAGAGTATGAAATTCTCACTTACCAGTATCCTCCCACCTGTATCCTCTCACAAAACAAGATTAAAGCTGCTGATTACTAATACCCATTCCACAATAGTGACCTCTGAAATAAGTAGAGCAACATGCCCAGTGAAGCTGAAGCCACCTATGCAGATGAGAGACTCAGAATGTCTCAGTACTCTTGGTGAAAGCCCCAACAAGTTTCTACCTTTGGGATAACTGATCTCACATCTCTGCCCTCAAAGGAGAAGCTTATGCTAGATTCTAATCAGGAGTAGTTCTTCTCATTCTAGAGTTGCCCAGGCCTCAAATATCCATGAGTAGGGAACAGATAGATAACTCCTTGATCTCACAACAATGAGAGATTATGCATATATTAAAAGAATAAAGTACATCTCTTAACTGCACTGAGTCATAGAGGCTAAATGAAAAAACCTAAGGTGAAATATAGTTTTTAGCTGGGTGCAGTGGCTCACACTTATTATAATCTCAGCTATGTAGGAGGCTGAAGCAGGAGGATTGCAAGTTCAAAGCCAGCCTCTGCAATTTAGCAAGACCCTGTCTCAAAATAAAAAAAATAAAAAGGGCTGGAATGTAGCTCAGCAATAGAACACCCCTGGGTTTAATTCCCAATACTGCAAAAAAAAAAAAAAGGTTTTATGGAGAAATACCTTTAAAAAAATACCTATGAGGGGCTGGGGTTATGGCTCAGTGGTAGAGTGCTTGAATGGCATGTGTGAGGCACTGGGTTTGATCCTCAGCACCACATAGAAATAAATAAATGTACTGTGTCTATCTATAACTAAAAAAAATAATTTTTTTAAATGTACCTATGAATTTCCAGGAAAAAAATCTTGAGTCATATGAAGCAAGCTAACAACAGAAGTAATTTCTGGTGGTAGAATTAGAAGAAATTTTTATGGTGTGTGTGTGTGTGTGTGTGTGTGTGTTGTGTGTGTGTGTGTGTGTGTGTGTGTACAGTGCTGAGATGAAACCCAGGGCTTCAGGTGTGCTAGGCACATATTCTACCACTGAGCTACCCTGCCAGCCCATGGGACTTTTTACTTTTTACATGATACATACTGAAATTTCAATAAAAATCATGTCATATTTGTAATGAGAAGAAACTATAAATATATGAAATTAGTGTTTTAAGTTTTTTTTTTTTTAATAAAGCTTTCTAGGAAATGCAGGTTTCTCCAGAAAAGTCCTGTTCCCTGGGTTCTACCTCCTGGCAACTTTCAAGTCTATTTCTTTTTTTTTTTTAATATTTATTTTTTAGTTGTAGTTAGACACAATACCTTTATTTATTTATTTTTATGTGGTGCTGAGGATCGAACCCAGGGCCTCGCACATGCTAGGCAAGCACTCTACCGCTGAGCCACAGCCCCAGCCCTCAAGTCTATTTCTTCTTCATCCCCAAAACCTCTACCTTTGTTCAAAGCTCTTTGTCTCTTGCTGGAACTGCTTAAATTGCCTCCTAACAGGTGACAAGGATTCAAGTCTCACAACAGTCTAGTTGTTGGATTTATCTGGATAACAGAAAAATTTTTAAAATGCATCAGCGTTTGTTGCTGCAGCATGACATTCATAACCCTCTGAGGTAGGTCCTCTTACAACCCTTATTTTACAGATGAGGCTAAGCGGTTATTTACAAAGTTTAGAAGCAGCCTACCACATTTGAGAACCCCTGACCTCAATGTCACCTAGGAATTTAGAAAACATATTATTAGGCCCCACTTCAGACATACTGAAAAACAAACTCTTCATTTCCACAAGCCCTTCAGGTAATTCTGATGCATGAGTTCGAGAATTGCTGCTCTAGCACAGGATACTCCCTGTAGTTCCCCAGATACAGAACACCCTCACAGCCAACTCATCCTTTCGTATTAGTTCAAAGCTCCTTCTCTAGGTTGACTTGCCTGACTCCCTCTCCTGTCAGAACTCCCTTCTCTGGTGTCTCAAATTGCTTTATTCACGCCTCTATCATAGTCTTTATCATGTTGACTTTTTCCTCCCTTCATTTCATTTCATTTTTTTCCAATGTGACAGTATTTTGAATGGAAAAAAAATATTTTAAAAATAAATTAGGGCACAGGAGCTGAGGCACAGTGGTAGAGCACATGTGAGGCACTGGGTTCAATCCTCAGCACCACATTAAAAAAATAAATAAATAGATAAAATAAAGTTACGTGTCCACTACAACTAAAAATGTTTTTTGAAAAAGAATAAATTAGGGGACTGGGGTTGTAGCTCAGTTGTAGAGCACCTGCTTAGTATGTGTGAGGCACTGGGTTCTATTCTCAGCACCACTTATAAATAAACAAATAAATGTCCATTGACAATGAAAAAAAATTATTTGAAAAAAGAATAAATTAGGGGCTGGGAGTGTAGGCAGGGGTAGAGAGCTTGCCTAGCACATGTGAGGCACTGGGTTCGATCCTTAGCACCACATAAAAATAAATAAAATAAAATATTGTGTCCATCTACTACAACAACAACAAAAAGAAGAAATTAATAAGTAATATATGATGACTTAACAACCTAATAATTAATAAATCTGTATAGATACGAAATTATCCACATAATCCCATTACATTGGATATATCCTTGTTTGAGGATATAATGTATCTAATGTATTGTTCTATAATGTTGACTTCAAAAAATGTTTTTTTCTTCATTTTTGGTACTGGGCACTAACTATACTGGGCTACATCCCCAGCCCTTTTTATTTTGAAACAGGGTCTCACTAAGTTACAAAGACTGGCCTCAAACTTGGGATCCTCCTGCCTCAGCCTCCTGAACTGATGGGATTATGGGTGTGTGCCACTGTACTGGGTTTATGATATTGATTTGTAGTTATCGTTAATGCTGAGCTACCTAAGGCCAGCAAGGGCATCTGAGTCATCTTTGTATCTTCAGTACTTAGGATATATTAGACACTCAAAAAATGCTTCTGAAATGAACAATGAAATGAATAATCAAAATCAAGGAGCAGAGTGGAGAGGTGAAGGAGGAGGGGGTACAGAACGAACCTCCTGGATCTTTTCCAGCAGTTTGATCACACCACACATTTCAGACCCACCCTGCACCTGCCTTCTTAGAATGATATTGACTTCTGAGGGCACAGACACATGTTTTGGTATGATTGGGTAGGGGACCAAAGATGCTATGTCCTGGGTAGGGTTGGGGTGAACTCATGTAGTCCTTCTACTCAGGGGTCTCCCTTCACTTTCAGTGGGTGCTCTTTTTCAGGAGTCACAATCTGGAGGTAAGAAGCCCATGGAGACAGTATTGCCTGTCACCCCACCCATACCCCCAACCCTAGTACCTCACTCTTAGCAGGGGACTCAGGCGTGCTTGGCTTCCGGACAGTCACAGGCGGAGGCAGGGGGCTGCTGGCCAGGGTCGCAATCACCTGGCCCTGAGCATTCAACAACAGTTGGGGGGTCACGGCCTGGACTTGCAGGCTTTGGGCTGGTGCTGGGGCTGCCACACTAGCTGAGTTCACCACCCATGGAAGTGTTCCAATAACCTGGGAGGAAATAAGGCAGGGACCCCAGGCATGAGGGCAGTGCCCAGTTCCTCCCCAACCCAGATCCCCACACTGGTAGATGAAGATGCTAATTTGGACAAATCACTTAACCCCTCTGTCCTCCGTTTCCTCATCAACAAAGTAAAGGATTCACACTAGAGGGGCTCCTTTCTTTATTCTATCCAGAGCTGCAGCATGACAGCAATAGGTCTGTTTATGAATCAGAGACTTGGATGCCAATCCTGGCTCTACAACATTTCAGTTGTGTGGCTTAGTTTATCTCAACTTCAGTCTTCTTTCCCACCAAATGGGAATAAAAATCTCTACCTAATAGATTTGTATCCAAAATGAGAAAATGTATAAGAAAGCACCTAGCCCAAAGTGTAGCCACAAAGTAGGTGCTCTTTAAATGAAACCCCCCAACTAGAATGAGCACCTGTAGGACAGGTTAGTACTACCCCTGCCTGGCCTCAGCATCATCAGAGAGCCACCATAGGGAGCTATGAACAGCAATTTGACACCCTATTTGAGTTTCTATGACTGTTAGCCCAATTCCTGGCCCACTCCTGGCCAGCTTCTCCATAGCCCCCACCCCCCAGGCTTGGCTTTGACCACTTGCCTGTCCCTGAGCATTGGTGAGGATCTGACTGCTGATCCCTGGCATGCTGGGAATGGCGTTGGTAATGACCGGAGTTGTAGTGAGGGAGCCCAGGATCTGGGTCTGTCCCCCGAGGGAAGCAGCACTGATCTGTGGGTGGAGGAAGAGTCCTGCTCAGAGGCCAAGGGGTGAGAAAGAGACTCTGATAAAAGGAAAAGGGCTGGGGTCATGGGGATGGGCATTTGTGAACATGGCCAGGACTGCAGGCCCATGTCCACAGCTGAATAGTATCCAGCACTATGTAGGGCTTCAGGGGGCAGTAGGGTAGGGCAGAGACCACAGTCAGGACAGTAACTGGTTAATCTTTGGGGCCAGGCCTGGAGGGTAGAAGGGCCTGACTGGAGGGGCTGATGTGTTCCTAGTCACATCTGACAGCTCCACTGCCAAGCCGGGAGCCACACCGAATAGACACCAGCACAGAGTAGTGAGCCTCTAACTGCACTTCATGGCAGCTCACAGAGTTGCAATCCCTAGACATTATCCCACCCTCCAAGGCTGGTCCAGTGGTTCAGGTTCTGGAGAATTTGCCCAGCTCTCTTGGCAGAGGCTGTATGCTTTTGCCTGAGCTGGACAGGTGACAGGCTGCAAGAAGACCTCAGAGGGAGCTCATCTCGGCTGATGTGTTGGAAAAGGGCTGTATTCAAGGGGCTGGTCCTCCACTGCGGGAAGGGTCAGTTCTACCCTTGGCCCAAGATTTGATCCATCCCTGGTCAGCCTTGGGTGAGGGCAGCAGCTTACGATTCCTGGACTAAACGCGAAGCCTGCAGGCTGCACGGTGATCTGTGGGGTGGTGTCCACTGGCTTGGGGGTGGGGGCAGCAGCGGTGGCAGCAGTGGGCTGTGGTAGGATGGCAGGCGTGGTCTGCAGCAGCGGCTGGGTCTGGAACAGTGTCTGGGGCTGGGCTGGTGGCCGGGGCTGGGCCGGTGAAGAGGCCTGGACTGGTGGGGCAGCTTGTACGGGTGCCGGGAGAGCGGTGTTCAGCACGGCAGCTGCTATGGAGCAAGGCAGAGACAGAGGTGCTCAAACACCTAGCCATGGCCCAGAGTGGCTCCAATCCCAAGGGATCTGGCACAAGAATAACATGGGGTTGGGGCAATGGGCATAGGGGGCGCGCAGCTGCCTTGATCCTTGAAGGGCTGGCACATGCCAGCATCTTTCATCCCCCCCTCCCTTGGGCCAGGAGATGGTAGGTTCAAGAACCAGATGTTGAATCTTCTTGCAGTCCTTCTCAGGAAGCTGGCATGGGGGGAGGGGCAGTCTCAGGCAGTTGGTTGAAGGAAGAAAGGCCTGCTGGGCTGACATGATGTCCTGGCCTAGAGTTCCAAGATGGTGCAGCGGCTCTGTGGCTGGGAGCCTGGGACACTGATGCAGACTCCAGGGCTGTTGCCCTGAGTGGGCCGTGGGTTCTGAGTCCGACATGGCAAGCACGTGTGCAGGAGTGGTAGTGTAGGGTGGTGGGGGGCCTGGTGCAGTCCTGGGGAGAGTTGCCGTTACCTTGCAGACCAGCTAAAGGTGGCTTGAATAGTGCCCCCGTGGGAGAAGCAGCAGTCAGTCCTGGGAGGGCAGCCACAGTTGCTGTAGGAATTGTCCACACGGCCAGCCCCTGCTGCCCAGCCACTTGACCTGCAATACTGATGGGGATAAGAAGAGGTTGAGTAACTGCCCCTGCTGGAACCATAACTCCTGTCAGAACTGTGGCTAAGTTTTCCTGAGTCAAGACCTGCAAAAGCAAACAAGATTTCAAAAAGAAAAGAAAAAATAAAAAATCAACATTGATAGCGCAAACACTGGGTCTCTCAGACCCAGTTGAGCACAAACAAAACATTTTAAGGGCAGTGGGGAGAGGCCACAGGAGGCAGGGAAGAGCCATGCCCTAGCTGGAGGCTGGATCTGAGAGGGTGCCTGAGCCATACTATCTTGCCTGCAGAGAAGTGGCCCAAATCAAGGCAGGGCCCAGCCCTGCCCACTGGACAGGTAGGGCTGCACAGACCTTCTCTGCGGTCTGCTGTCTCTTAAACCTCCCCCAAGTTTCCCCCAGGCTCTGGTGGAGGATGCCCTCTGACTGGATGCCTCAGAGATTAGTGCATGAAGCAAAAGTCACCAGGGCTGTGCTTGCCTGCAGGATCCTACAGGCAGCTTCTCACTGGCTGGGGCTGCTCCCTGTCTCTAAATGAGGACTCTGAACACTCTATTAACTCTTCCAGGCATCTGCTAAAGGAGCTGACAAAGCTATTCACTTATTTCATTATTAAGATAAGCAGAAACTCTGGCAGCATGAAAGAGTTAATGGAATTTCTATAGTTCTTTCTGGACCCAAAGAAACTGCCCAGCAAATGCAGATCTTTTCCAATGGGCCTGATTTGGGGAAGGGAGAGGCCAGGGGTCCCAGTAAGAGATTCCCTCCCTCAACCCATACCCTTTCTCTGTCCTGCCTCATGCAGTTCCCAGATCCATGGCCACCCCACACCTCATTCCTACCCACTGCCCTCAGTCCAGCTCCCTGGGGTGGCCCTTACCTGGGGGGCAGCTTGTACAGCCAGTGGTGTCAGGGTCTGCGATGCCTGAGGCTGGCTTGGGGCTTGGCTGAAGGTGGCAATAGCGGGGGCAGGGTTCGGAAGGATCCCGGGAAGTGACTTCACTTCACATGGCATTGAGAGAAAGAAGGACATGGAGTGAGCCTGATGTGAGTGGAGGGAGTCACTGGGGTAGAACATCTTGTCTGCCACCTGAAGTGGCAACTCTCAGACCCATTTTGTATTTCTGCATAACTGAAAACTATCTGTTGGCCTTCCCTGGCCCACAAGGCAGCTTCCCCAACGCTACTTATAGTGAGAGTAGGAGGCTGGTAGTTCTGTGCCAGATCTGGAAGATAGCCACTCTCTTCCTGAGTTAGGCACAGGGAAATTAGGTGCTGGCAGGCACCTCTGCAAGCAACCTGTGGGCTGCTCCTGCTTAACCACAGGCATCCTGCTAGCATCTGATTAGAGAAAACATTTTGCCTTAACCATGATGTAGGCCGCACTCCAGAGCCAGCTGTAACTGGTTTCTTGCACAAACTCACCAGAATGATTCCTGACCTTACCTTTACCTTTTGCTCATTAAGGTTGATTACTATATATACTCACATACCCTTTACCTGTCTAATTAAAACTGAGCAATTTTCCCTAAAAGAACCTCCCAATTCAGAGAATCTCTTCCATTTTCAGCCTCTGCTTAGGAGGATTAATTTTACTGAACAATATAAACCACAACCCATATATCTGTGAGACTCTCAAACTTTGGGCACGCCTGCACTTAGTCCTTGAGTATGTACTTTCGCTTTGCAATAAACTCTCTTTGCCACTGAAACTCTGATGTGTCCTTAAATTGTTTTCTGTAATGTGATCAACAACCTGGAAGGGTCAGGAGCAGTGGTGCACGCCTGTAATTCCAGCAAAGCAGGAGGCTGAGGCAGGAGGATCACACAGTAAGATCATATCTCAAATAAAAAAATATTTTTTGTTGGACAAAATGTAATGAAACATAAAAAAGGTAGACTTTTATAATTTATGTTTGCCACATAACTTATAAAACCTACCTCATATGTGGGCTTTTCTTTTTATCTAAAGAAACGAAACATTCATTTTTTTGGTCCTATTTCCTTGGACCCTGGTGTCCAAGGGTTTATATATATTTAGGATTTTTCCACTTCCTTCCATACTGCTTTATAGAAAGACTAAACTAACTCTCAGAATCACCAAAAATGTACCTGCTTCTCCACAGCACCACCTAAGTTAGGTTTTAGCACTTTTTTTTTTTTTGCTTAATAGTCTGTGCTACCTTCCCTGTCTGCCCTGCCCACCCACCGTGGCAGTACTGGGGAGTAAACCCCAGCAGAAGACCCCTCTGCAAGGTGTTGAAGAGAAAAGTCATTGTGCTTTGAGCCACATCCCCAGCCCTTTTTATATTTTATTTTGAGATAGGGTCTTGCTAAGCTGCTTAGAGACTAACTAAATTGCTGAGGCTGGCTTTGAACTTGTAATCCTTCAGCTTCAGCCTCCCAAGAGGCTGGGATTACAGATGTGTGCCACTGCACCTGGCTCCCCAGCCTTTTTATATTATTTATTTATTTATTTATTTTTAGCTGTCAGTGGACCATTATTTATGTATTGTACGTGGTGCTAAGGATTGAACCCAGCACCTCACAATGCTAGGCAAGCTCTCTATCACTGAGCCACAGCCACAGCTCCTTATCTTTTATTTGAGACAGGGTCTTTCTAAGTCATTGAAGCTGACCTTGGACTTGCCATTCTCCTGCCTCAGCCTCCTGAGTTGCTGTGATTACAGGCATGTGCCACCAGCATCTGTGATACTTCAAAGTCAACTACTTTTCTTCTCATTGATAGCAAATTTTAAAATTTTTCCATATGATGACTTCCTTCTATGTCAATATTTAATTTCTCTTTGACAGGATTTTTAGTGGACTATACCACAAAGAAGACATTTTTTAAAATATTTATTTATTTATTTTTAGTTTTAGGTGGACACAATATATTTATTTCACACTTACGTGGTACTGAAGATCGAACCCAGTGCCTCGTGCATGCTAGGTGAGCACTGTACCACTGAGCCACAACCCCAGCCCCCAAAGAAGACATTTTTTAATTAAAAAATTATTATTATTATTTTTAAAAAATTTGAGACAGTGTCTTGCTAAATTGCCCAGGTTGCCATCCTTCCTGATACCTAATTCTGTTCCTTTTCAAACCTGCTCTGAGAAATGAATTCTCAGTAGCTGGGAAGGGGAAAAAAATTAAAGAAACAATAACAAAGATGTTCAAGGCAGAACTGTTAATGAAAATAAAAAGACAAACAATTTCACATGAAGCAGTGTACGAATCTATGTCACTAATAGAAATGGGCATATGAAATAATATGGTGCAGAGTGTTATACTCCATGTCTACTCTCGGTGGCTGCACATACAAAAATATGTGTGTGGCAAGGACTGGACACAAGAGAGACACAAATTACTAGATTATTTTTAATCCTGAAAAGATCCTCTATTACTTAGTTTTGTTTTAATATGAGAGACCCCTTCTTAGTATTGCATACCAAGAAAGGTCCCATCAATCTAAGCTGGCAGCTTATTAGGCAGTACCATCAAACTACCCTGACAATGGGACCAGGGTTGTGGCTCAGTGGTAGAGCACTTGCCTAGCATGTGTGAGGCACTGGGTTTAATCCTCAGCACCACATAAAAATAAATAAATAAAATAAAGGTATTATATGTGTACACACACACACACACACACACATATACACTTGGGCCCTGACAATGACTAAAATCCTTTCACTGAGAGGAAGACTTTGGTGAAAGGCTTAAATATACAGACCTCTGGAAGAAGATGCACACTACATAAGCACTCAAGCTGAAGTGTAAATAATTGATTTAGAATCCATTTCTCAGAGCAGTTTTGGAAAAGGAGCAGAATTAGGCACCAGAAAATGAGTTATGGAAGACAGATGAAAGGTGAAAAATGGAAGTCGAGGCACTGCAGATAAACTCAAGAAACCTCCTCAGGGTTTTCTGAAAAAGAGCCCCATCTCCACAGTGGCTCTGCTGAGAGGAACAAGTGGAATAAGAGTCCTTGTCTGTCCTGCCCATTCCCCAGGGAATTGCACCTTAAAAAAAGTAGGTGGAATCCTTTGTCATTCCTATGTTCAAAAGGAGAATTAAGTTACTGAGGTCACTAGGGTCCCAAGAACCTGCATACTAATTTGCAAGTAGATCAAGGATGGTGAAGTCATGCCATTTTCTTGTTAAGAAGCTGTTGTTTCTCTGAAGTTTGTTAGTTCTAATTTGCTCTTTTTTGGCTCCTCCCCTTATCCCCCCCTCCCTGTCCGAATCTCCAGTCTAGGGAAGGGGTGAAGAATAGTAGAAGGCCAGAGGAAATGAATCATGGTGTTCTGAGGGAACTGGTAAAGGAGGCCCAAGGCTTTCTGCAAAAGAAGAAGACCACTCTGCAAGGTGTTGAGGAGGAAAGTCAATGAAAGGTCCCTCAAGGCTGGAAAGCAGCACCAGGGCCACCCCAGGGCAGCCCTGTTTCTCTCACAGCTGTCTTGCAGGTGAATGCAGCTTACTCTGTAAGGTTGGCTTTGCAGAGGGGCAGCACCTATAAAACTGCAGAGAGGAAGGAGCAGGGATTTTTCAGGAGTTCTACCTAGTCTCCTTTCTTTGAGGAAAGTAGGATGTCCTCCCAGTCTCAGTTCCTGGGACATCTCAGTTCTACCACAAAAAGGACAGGGTTAGAAAGGCCAGAAGGATACTGAAGGCCCAGTTCTCTTTGCATTGGGTCTGACCATTTGGTTTGGACCTAGGAGCTCTCTGAGGTTGATTCAACCTAAGCTGAAACATGCCAATCACCTCCCATCATTCCCAGTTTAGGCCTAGCAGTGGCTGTAAGAGGAACTAAAGCTCCAGGAAAAAGGAATGCAGAGTAGCCCTACATGCTGACTAAAAGTGGACTGTGGTCACAGGCTGCCCAGCGGATGGGAAGATAAAATCCTAATGCCACCTGGGCCCCTGGGGCACATGCTGGCTCCCCAGAGAATCACAATGGACTCAGAGGTAGTGATACCAGATTGGAGCAATGGTCTCATACCAGCCTCTGCAGAGGGGTCTGGGTTGTCTGGCCCTGGGTTGCTGGCTTCAGCAGGGCCTCCACTCTGAGAGCTGTCAGCAGCCACACTCTCCAGTCCTTTGCCCTCATCTTCAGCAGGGATCTGGGCATCCACTCCAACTTCTAGCACTCGGATGGTCTCGTGGCTTGACATCACGATGACCTGTAGGCAGATGACAAGGAACACCACTGAGAGGAGGAGTCAGCATAGCCCCTGGTATGGCTGGAGGAGAGAGAGGGTACTTCAGATGTAGACCTCCCAAGCAGCAAACAGTGTGCTCTGTGAGAACACCAAATTCTGGGGCAGGCTACTACTCTCCTATTCCATGGAAAGAGCTGCTAGAAGAAGACAGGTCCTAGTGTCAGGGAGAAGGGTCTGACACAGTTGGGAAAAGTCCCAGAACTTTACCACTTGAGAGATAGTTCTATTTGCTCCCCCTCTTGGGCTCAGTTCAGGGAATAGGAAATGGCCTATCCCACAAACTTGCAAGGATGTCCTCTTGGCTGCTAGGACATGGTAGTGTGGCTATGAGGGATCCTAACACAGTACACATGACTTAAGTTGGACCAGGAAACAAATCCATTTTTGATTCTCTTGAATCTGTCTGGAAGTTCCCCAAAGGCAAAGGGATGAAAAATAAATGCTCCCTATGCTGAGTAGCTTTTAAGCTCACAATGCCTTTATTTCCAAAACTCTGGAGTAAATGACCAGGATTCCCCTGCAAGTTAACTTTTTGAAAGAAGAGTGAGGAATCCTAAAGATGTTCTCATCTTCCTCACCCAGCCCAGCTATGGCTCCAGTGGAGCTGGGTATCCTAACAGCCTGTGGTTTCTATCATGCTATCCAGCAGTGGGCATGCTCAGAGTATAAGGGTGATCCTCCATGTGTATGATGCAGGCAGACCCTGAGTCACCTTAGAACACTTGGTGGTCTTCTGCTCAAATGCCCTGTTTCATGCACTGAAGTACTGCCACTTGGGCCCTTCAAGAATCAGAGACAAAATCTGTACATTAAAGTGCTTTGTGTCAGTCCTACCCTGCACTTGGCCTGGGCCACAAACCACTGCCACACATGCTTCTGAAGCCTGAAAACTGAATCCAGCCAGAAACTGCTGTAAAAAGTGACAAAATGATACTTTCCCAACAGGAAAGTAAAAGTGAAATAAATCCCCCAAAGCATTCCCTTTTACTGACTCAAACTCGATCTATGAGGGGCTTCACTGCACTTACATTTTAAAAGATATTCATTTTTTTCTCCTTTTAAAAAATGACACAAGAACTAAACAGTCATTGCAGAATTTTTTTAAAATTAGAAAAAATTAAAAATAAATTACTTGGTGTCCAAACCTTTCCTTGTTTAAATTATATGTATTTGTGCATTTTAATTCCAATTTTAAAAGTCACAGCTAAATCCCCCAACTCAGAATCTGAGAAGTCCTAGTTGGCAACTCCCCGTGATGAAATAACCATGAACTTTGGTAAGAAACAAAGAGGGGTGCTGTGGAGCCTTCCTCCCCTACCCACACCCTTTGGTCCATTGCCCTTACCACCCCATCCCTTCTTATCCCAGAAGATACCTGCTCATTGACAGTCAGAGAGGACTCGGACCCGGCTCCAGGATCCATGGTCAGCTGTCAGGGTGGGGTGGGGGCTGGCCCACACCTAGTGCATCCTGGGTAAGATGGGATTGGAAAAGCAAAGGCTGATATGATACAGCAATATAATTTCCAGACCATCTAGAAAAGTCAGAAATAGAATGATAGGAAGACAGAAAAGTTAGGTTCTCCCAAGTATCTGGAGAAGTAAGGAAGCAGGATTCTAAGAGTCTCACTTCCTACAGAATCCCAGGAGAACCTACACTCAGGAGGAACCAGGAACATCTGTGCTTAGAATGACAAGAAAAAAGGGAGGGCCAGGCATCTCTCCCTGGGGGTTCCCTGATCCAGTGGGAGACAGCACACCCAGCAGAACCCAAAACAAATATGACAGTTAATCAGACCCTTAGACAAAGATGAGGAGCACTCTGGTTATCAGAGAATTACTCAGAGGAGAAATCTGGGTGAACTTCCTGGAAAAGATGGTAAAGACATAAATTAGCAAAGTGGTCTCAAACTTTAACATGCACCTTTAATATCACCACCTGGAGCATTTACTAAAAATGCATATCCCAGAACCTTTCCCTCCAACAACTCTCAGAGTCTGATTCAGAGGGTGAATCCCAGATTTTGCTCTCAGGTGAGTTTGTGGCAGTGGCCTAAGGACCACAGTGGCCTGCCGGCACATAGGAGGTAGAACATCTCAGATGGTGGAACAGCCTGCCAAATCCAATAAGGAGTGGGCAAACTCATGTCTGGCTGGAGCCACAAACCATAGAGTTGAAAGAAATAAAAGAAATAACCAGGTACAGTGGTGCACACCTGTACACCCAGCTACTCCAGAGGCTGGGGCAGGAGAATGGTAAATTCAAGGCCAAACTGGGCAACTTAGTGAGACCCTGTCTCAAAGTAAAATAAAAAGATAAAAAGAGTGGTGATGTAACACTGTGGTAGAGTGCCCTTAGGTTCAATTTCTAGTGAAGCAAAAAAAAAAAAAAGAAAAAGTAAATAAAAGGGGTAAATAGATTTATGTTTAGACGTTTATATAGACATGAGGGCATTAAAATTGAGTTGAAAGCCTACTGTAGGCTACTGTGGGCTATGTACTTTATGTAATACTCACTGTACTAACTGATGTATTATTACTCATGCCCACTCTGGGTGAGGAGTGGGAGTGGTGACATTAGTATCACCACATTACAGTGAGGAAACTAAACTCAGGAAGGTATTCTGAATTCTTCACTTTTCCCTTCCTTTTTCTCTTTCTCATTTCACCCCTGTTTTTTTTCTTTTCTTTTCTTCTGTTTTTGTTTGTTTTGTTTTGTTTTACAGTGCTAAGAATAGAAGCCAGGGCTTGTGCATATTAGGCAAGTGTTCTACCTGAGCCATATCCGCATCTCTCACCCTGTTTGAAATTTGAGGTAAAATTCTGCTATGGTCTGGATGTTTCTGTCCCCTCCAAATTCATGTTGAAATCCTACTTCCCAAAGTCATGATATTAAGAGGTGGGGTCTTTGGTAGGTGATGAGGTTTCATGAATAGATTTAGAGCCTTTTAAAAGAGACCACAGAGCATATATGATTACATGAAAACAGAGCAAGAAGGAACTGGGAGGAGGCATGTCCTCACCAGACACTGACACTTTAATCTTAATCCAGCCTCCAGGGTTGTAAGGAATAAACTTCTGTTGTATCTAAATTATCTGATTTATGATATTTTGTCATAGCAGCCCAAACAGACTAAACAAAGTTACGTAACATAAAATTCACCATTTTAACAATTTAATTATTTAATTTTTCACTGCTGAGACTCCAACTCAGAGCCTTGGGCATAGCTAGGCAAGCACTTTACCACTGAGCAACATTCCTAGTCCCCTTTTTAATTATCTTTAAGTGCATGATTTAGTGGAATTTAGTACATTCACAATGTTGTGCAACTGTTACCAACTAGAACTTACCAGTTCTAGAACATTTTCATCAACCAAAAGGAAATTCTGCCAGTTAACACTTCCCCCTGACTACCACCTCCCAGGAGGTAACAATCTGCTTTCTCTCTATATATGAATTTGTCTATTTTGGATATTTCATATAAAAGGAATAATACATACATGACATTTTATTTAGCATATTTTTCAAGGTTTATCCATATAGTAGCACATATGAGGACTTCACTTCTTTTCATGGCTGAATAATATTCTGTTATATGGATCTACTACTTTTTTTTTTTTTTTTTTTTTTTGTGATGCTGTGGATTGAACCAAAGCCTATGCATGTAAGGCAAAGACTCTACAAACTGAGCTATATCCCCAGCCCCAGATCTACTACTTTTTTTTTTTTTTTTTTTTTGAGATATTGGGGATTTAACCCAGGGGCACTTTATCACTGAGCTACATACCTAGTCCTTTTTAGTTTTTATTTTGAGACAAGGTCTTGCTAAGTTGCTTTAGGGCCTCATCTCACTAAGTTGCTGAGGCTAGCCTTGAACTTGTGATCTCCCTTCCTCAGCCTCCCGAGTTGCTGGGATCCCAGGTATGCACCACCCAGACTACATTTTGTTTATCCATTCACTAGATTTGATGGATATTTGGGTTATTTCTATCTTTTGGTTATTGTGAACAGTGTGTCTATAAATATTTGTGCATAATTTGTTTAAATGTCTGTTTTCAATTCTTTTGAATATGCGTCTATTGCTGGGGTTTTAGCATCTTTCCCCCTTGACAAAATGCCTCCTGGTCAACCAGGCAAGGCGAACCTTGAGGTTTCTTCCCTCCTCTTCCTTCCTCAAGGGAAAGATAAGCAATTCAAGATAGCTATCCATTTCAAAAAAGAAAAAATCTTTCCCTTTCCAGGCAGGACAGGGGATGCAGGAGAGACAGAGAATTTTCTGGAAAAACTAGTGAGCATCTGCCTACCTTCCTGGGATACTAGCCTCATTCCTGGGTGATGTCCTCCCACCATATTTTGTACATGGGAGTCTTCCATGAAATTTTCTAGGGACTTGGCAATTTACTACCACTGCTGAATGAAAACTGAGATGAGCCAATGAAAGTTGTTCATATAGAAGTAATCAGTAAGTCATTTGCAAATTCAATTAAAAGGCAGAGATAAAATTGAAAGAAAAGGTGTGCAAGGTGAATTTAGGTCTATTATAGCTTGACATATACATTCCAAAGGAAGAAGAAATTTCCATTTCCAAAGAAGGCCATCATGAGGAAGGCAGCAGTAGCCAGTCTTTGAGACATCTGCTCAGAGAAGTAAAAGCTTGCTCAGAATCTTATAGTGGCCGAGGCCATTCATAAGGAGTGGTTAAGCATAGGCTGGTATTCACTTTGAGACTGTGTTATTAGGGCTGAGCTGAAGGGTATAGTCAATCAACCCTTCGGTCCCTCTCTAGGTAATCTCAATCCGTTTGACAACTACCAAATCAAAATCTCTATCTTAGATTTCATCCAAGAACTTTAGACTCATATCAAACTGCCTACTGAATGCTCACATCACTTAATCTGATATAAGAAAAACTAAGGCTTGGTGATTCACCTTTGAGATTCTATGAGTTTTGAGAACCTGGGTCCTTCAGTGTCTAGTCCTTTTTTTCAGGACAGTAGGCCTGAGTCAGCCACTGGCCATACCTAGGCTCATCCTAACCCACTAACCAGACTTCAGTCCAACAGAAATCTGCATACAGCACAGGCAAAAGACTCCCCTTGTTCCAGACTTTAGGCCTCCCTTCTATCTTAGTCTCCTATCAGAGTCACACATGTGATATAAACGCCTCTCTAATGAGTAGGCACTCAGCATTTTAACTCTGAGCTGTGTGCCATGGATTCCCTTGCTTGCTTATTTGTGCACTTTACTCTGGACCTGCTCTAACCCCTCATCAGGAACTTTCCACATTTTCTCAAGCTTCAGGCTGTGATTTGGTTTCACTGATTAGGCGGTTATCTTGTTTGCTTTCAGACCATTTCCCCATTGATGTGAAAATAGCACATTTGGAGGATCCCCTTTGAGCCCCGGATGCTATTCATTGTCTACAGCCTGATAGGGAGGAAAAAGAATCAGCTGTCATGTTTCAGAGAAGGAGCTCCTTTCCCCACCCCAGCAATGGAACCCTAATATATAACAGATCAAAGCAGAACTGATCTGGTTAAAGCTGGGGAGGGAATCAGAGCCCATCCAGAACCTTCTCCTTTGCCTCCTCTCTCCAATGACTCAAGTTTGAAAAACACCTGAATCAAGATACCTATGTAGGGGCTGGGGTTGTGGCTCAGTGGCAGAGCACTTGCCTCACACCTGTGAGGCACTGGGTTCCATACTCAGCACCACATAACAATAAAGATATTGTATCCAATATTTTTAGTTATTGTATAACTAAAAAAATTAAAAAGACACCTATGTAATTGATGTATCCTTTGCTTTTCTGTGCTAGAGTCTAAAATCCAAGCAACCTCAGAACAGAATGAACTGTGGGTGCTGAGGCATTTGTCCACAACCTAAGAACCCAGAAAGGTCCAAGGCCATCTAGGAGTTTCAATGGAGAGGAAGAGCTGGTTCTACTTGTCATTCTCCTTTGGAACTGTTCTGGACTTCAGGTAATATTCCAAGACACCCAGGAGGTGCATTGAGAAATCCCAAACAAGTCAGAACTTCCTAGAACAGTCTGAGATTCTAGTAGAAGAAATCCTGAAATGTCTTGTCCTGGCCAACACATATTTCCATGGCTACTATGTGTTGGGTACAGTGGGAGGAAAAAATACATTTCCCACCTTTGTCAAGAAGTCTACAGTCCAATAGGGAAGACAAGGAAATAAAAAGGTAACTATAATACAGCATTTCTAAGTATCCTGGTGGATGAACAGAAGTCAGCGGAGGATCCACAGGAGGGACATACAATGCAGTTTTGTGTGATCCTTGTTCTCACAAAGGTATGTACTTCAGACATGAATCTTGATATAAGAAAAATCTTGTCCTTTGTAGGAAAGTGAAACTTGTGTGGGATTTAGATTTTTTTTAATATTTATTTTTTAATTTTAGGTGGGCACAATATCTTTATTTTACATTTATGTGGTGCTGAAGATCGAACCCAGTGCCTCATGCATGCTAGGCAAGCACTCTACCACTAAGCCACAACCCCAGCCCCAGACTTTGTGTGTGTGGTACTGGGGACTGACCCAGGGAACTACTTCCCAGCCCTTTTCATTGTTTATTTCATTTTTTTTTTTTTAATTGAGACAGTAGGGCTGGGGATATAGCTCAGTTGATAGAGTGCTTGCCTCCCATGCACAAGGCTCTGGGTTCAATCCCCAGAAACACACACACACACACACCAAAAAAAAAAAAAAAAGAGAGAGAGAGAGAGAGGGTCTTACGAGGTTGCCCAGGCTGACCTTGAATTTGCAAACCTCCTGCATGGGCCTCCCCGGTAGCTGGTATTACAGGTGTCACTGTGCTCAGCTAGATTCAGCCTTTTAACTCGGACCCATTTCTGTTTTTTAAATCAGCCCCTTAACACTCAGTATGGTCAAAGTTTGCAATGTGTTAAATATCTTCCCATTATATACTCATTTTTTAGGGTAGAGAATACTCTGTGTGAAGTTAGCAGACTCCAAAGAAAGCCTGGGTAAGCTGAATTTAGTTTTATCTGCATTCAATTGAAAGAAAGTCACATTTGTTGTAAATTCATCTTTCAAAATTTTAACATTATAATGCTCTCTGGTTAGGTTGTTTGTTGATATTAGTGCTAAACCACTTTTAATTTAAATTCACACCCGCT